CTGGTGGGTGGGTGTTGATACAGTCCCACTGGCAGGTGTGCAAGGTGTCCCACTTTCACCAGGCTTCCAGTTCACAGCTGAGAGGGAGGTTCAGTCCACACTCCTTGATTCAAGGCAAGTGCCCACCTTCCTCCACAACTCTAGAAAGCTAAGCCATTGAGCAAAAGTTTACCTTTTCACCCTCTCTCCACTCCCTGTCCTGGGCCTCTGTCATTTGTTCTCGAGACATCAACCAGAACACCCACTCACACCTAGGGACCCCAAGTGTGGCAATTTTCGGGGCCGAGAGGAACTGCACTGGGGATTCCCATGGGTCAGGGTTTAATTACGTGAAGGGCATTTTCTGCATGGTCCTAGAGGACAAAATGAGAATAAGTCTTGGAGTAAAAGACTCAAAAAGGCCAACATGAACAATGTCCAGTTAAAACCATCCCACGCCACTCCCACTGCGCAGACATGTCCCCCACAAGTCTGTCTGCTGTAAAATGAGAGACAATGAGGGTGCCTCTGGGCACAGGATGTACAAAAATTCAAATTTTTACAGCAGGCTTCCCATGTATTTTGTTGACCTGGAGAAAATGATAGCATCTCCCCCTAGCCTCAGTTTCTCCATCTGCAAAATGGTTGCAGGGAAGACGTACCTAAGGTCTCTGCCAGTTTTGAAACCCTGAGAAATTTTCAGTGACAGCTCTTTCATTCCTGATGGGGCCTGGGGTCAGTTTAAATATCTGATAAAAATGTCAGAACAACCATGTCCGCGGAATTATCTAGAAAGTTCATGAACATGGGTGAGTGTGTGCCCTGCCTGCATGTGAGAGAGAATTCAGACATGCCCTGGAGTCTTTCTTAGAAGATGGGCTCAAGCGTCTCAGTCCCCGAAGACGCTGAAGATGGGGTCTTTGGAAGTGAAGCAGAAAGGGGGGCAGTAGCTAGGGAGGGCAGTGGAAATGGGAAAACTTCATCTGGAAATCAACACAGTCATGAGCTTCCAAAGACTGGGCCGCAGTTCCATCTTATCCTTGGAAACAACATGTTCAAGGAGATTCTCGGCTGTGATCGGCCCCATGCTCTGCCTGGGAGGTCAGGTGGAACTACAGAGGCAGAGTCCCAAGGATTGGGTGCCGTGAGAATGGCCGAGGCAGTGGCCTAGGCTCAGAATTTTCCCCAGATGTTCTATGTATGTTCCAGAACAAGAAGGAAGCTGGCTGTTTTTATTCCTTTAAAGGGGGTGCCAGGCTAACTCCAGTTCACCCTGTCTCAGACACCAAGGCACCAGGTCAGAGTCAGATAGTTCTCTGTTCAAGGACTTTTACTGAAGTCACCAAGCAAATGAACTCAGAAGGTGGCTCGTGTCAGAGTGCAAATTAAAAATCTACACTTGTCCAGAACATAATCTAATGCAAGAAGAGTTCATAGAGTCCAAAATTCTCTATGTTGAATGCTGTTTGGGCATCCTAAAAAAAAAATTACAAAATGTAGGAGGGTCGCCAGACACACATACTCAGCATTTAAATACTGTCCACTCTAAGAAAGGAGAATAGAAAAAGAGAGAGCAACTGAGAACTTTTATATTATTTAGAAACAAAATATAATCATCTCAGACACGTGAGCTTTAAAATAATGCATT